AACTTAAATTTATTCTGTTTAGAAATGAGGTTATTTTTTTACTTTTGTAATTTTGGACTCACTTTAGTGCATTCAAACTCTACTTATAAACTTATCCAAAATATCTAGAAATTTTGGATGAGTTTCATTTTGTATCCAATTTTTGTATCGAGACGCACTTCTTCATTTGGCAAAAATGAACATCTGACTACTGCATCTAGATTATGCTTCTGGATGAGAAAACGAACAACCTCTTCATCTTGCACAACATCATAGGCTTGTTGTGTTCCCTTCGTTTCCATTATCTGAAGTAACACATAGGTCTCTGTCTTGGATAAGCCATTGATTTCGGTCAGAATAGATTGAAGCTCTAATACCAATTTTACTGGAAGGATAATCCGATGATAGAGGTTCTCTTTTTTTTTTTTTTGGCCACAAACAATCTAGAAGTTCTCTTATGAACCCGAAAATTGATAAAATAAAACCAAGGAGAGATCACTAAGGAAGAAAGATACAACAAAAATACAATGGTGGAGGATGATGATGATGAACAAAGATTGAAAAAGATGTTTGTTTATTTGATTAAGTTTTTTCAGATGACTCTAGGCCGTACATATAATGAGATCACTAGATTTTTTTCTAGCGTCAAATGCGGGATTAGAATAGTTGAAAAAATTATAATTTTTAAAAATAAACGAGAGAAATTAAAAAAAAAAATCTAATGGTATATCTCATATATTTTATCTCACAAAAATTAATATGCATGATATTTAGATTGAATGTAAATGTTTTTAATATAAATCGAATACATTTGAGATTATGAGTTATCTCAAACTTATTTGAGCTAAAAAGCTCAAAAAAAATATTGCGTTAGTATGTAAATGTTCTTAAAAATCAAAGAAATAATGAAAAGTGAAAATGATGATTTTCGAATCTCAAAAAGTATTATACTATACAAGGATAAAATAATTAGTTTTTAAACCTAATGAGAAGTTTCAATTAAAATAAAATAAATATATATATACTTTGTTAACTGTACTATT